TTAATAACATTGTATTAAGTGGTGATTAAGCTGATTTATTTATTTTTATTAACATTAGAGTTATGTGTATTTGGAAAACTGGCTGAGAATTCCAGATGGCTTATTGGAGTGATGGAAATTATTTATTTAGACTTAAAAACTTCATTTTAAAAACTATTTTTTTTTAAATTCGAATTTTTTTTAAATATTCTAAATACGTTGAAATTTTCGAAATCTTATCAATGTCATGGTCATTTTGATACCAAACAGTCTGCGGCATGTAATAATGATATTGTTTTTATATTACTACTTATATGGTTCTTCTTATCAGCTGTTTATTGTTCTTTAAAGTTATTGTGCATATGTTTGTATACAATAATTTTGAGAATTATGGTGAATATTCAAAAAAAACTACAGATTGTAGAATTACAAAACTTCCTGTCAACTTATATGTACGTGCACATGTGTACTTTTGCTATTGATATGAAATTATGAGAACAAACTCACATATTTGTTTACATATATGTATATATATTTGTAACCATTAAATATTTGTAAATATTTACTAATTTAAATACACTAAAGCCTTTGTCATAGCAGAAAACAAATATACCTTATGACAATTGAAACAACAAACAAACGAAGATATGCTTAAAATGTCACGCAGTTGGCAACGCGGCATGCGTGATTAAGCTTCTTGCTGTTAAATTGTACAATATTCACTTTATAAACTGATAAGGAAAAAACTTTTTAGTTATTTTTTTTTTAAATTTTAGTCATAAATTAACAGTTTGTTTATGTATTGCGGAGTCGTGTATGTAGCACTCTAGGTCATTTCAAACACTTTATTACTTTTTTATAGCGCGAATATTTCACTGCTGAATTTAGTGCGCATTTATTGAGTTTACTGTCACTAACTAAAGAAAATCTATATAGAAATTATAATCGTGCTAATTATGTTCGTAAAAATATATGTCGCCAAGGACGGCAAATTGTGAAAAATTCTTACAACTGAGAGCGTACAATGTGACAGCACCAGTTGGAAAATGATACAATATTAATGCGCAAATAGCCAGTATGTGAACTGCATATTTTTGATTTATTTTAAAGTTTATCTATATTTCATTTATTTATTCTCTTTAACTTTTTTTTTTAGTTTTATCAATTATATTAATTGATTTTTTAACATGTGATTAGTAATAAATTTTTTTGAATTTAACGTTATAGATTTGAAGTTTGTCTAAAATAAGATATGGATAATATTTTTATGAAACCTTTATTTTATTTTTCCATTTTTTTTTTAATAATTGTTTGGTAATAATTTTTTTTTTCTGTTATTAATCTTTTTTATTATTTTAAAAAATTTTTCTTGGCTTTTTTTTTTTTAATTTTAATTTTTTTTTTTTTGATTATTTTTTCTTATTTTTTTATTTTTATGTTTTTTTGTTTTTAAATTTTTTCATTTGCATAACTTCATTTGTATTTTCATTATCGTTTTTTTTTTTTAATTTTTGTTATTTTATTTGTATATATTTAATTATACTGTATTGGAATATCGATATAGTTATGAAGTTACTATATTATTCAATTTTTCGCTCTTTTTAGTCAAAAATAAGAGTTCGAAAAATATTTTTCTTTCTTTATAAAATGCAGAAATGAGTAATCCTTATGCATATATTTGTTATTTTTCATTTAAATTAAGGTCTCATTTAATTTTTGTCTTTTATTTTAACATTAAATGTCACTCTTTATTTAATTTTTTTTTAATTAAATTTCTGTTCTTTCGTTTTAAACATTTTATAAAACATTTGCTCTTACCAAGCTCTGTAAGTATTGTACTTAATTTTTTAGTTTTCCGCTTTCTTCTTATTAAAATATTATTTTCAACAATTTTTAATTTTTTATTTTCTTATTTTTTCACCGAATATATTGTTGTGCTTTTCTTGTTTAATATTTTTAAAATCTTCTTCATTAACATTTTAGTTTTATTTTTATTTTTCTGTTTCCTCCTTCAGTTATAATATCGATTTGTCTTTATAACTTTTTTATACCTTTTACTCCTTTTATTGAAGTTATTGTTGCTATTCGATTGTTGAAAATTTTTCATTTATTTCGTTTTATATACGCTATAGTTCATCTTCTTCTCAAGCTCTTAATAAGTTTTTTATATGCCATGAGTTTTTTTTTAATTATTTATTTTGTTACTTTTTATTTTCTGATTTTCCTTAAAGTATTAATTTTTAAATAAGCATTTCGATTATTTACTGGCTTGAGCCTAAAATTGTATTATTTTAGCTTCATTTTTATTTTTTATTTTTTTTTATTTGAATTACTTTTTATTTTACATATATTAATTATTATTTCACTTCATTTTATTTTATTAATTTTTTTTTGTATTTATTCATTTGAAAATTTATTCTTTAAATTTAAGTGTGATTTGAGTTTCTAGCTTTGGTGTTTTTATTTTTATTTTCCGCAACTCTTTTTACTTTATTCTTCTACTATAATACTAAATTTTGTGCTTAATTTAATTTATTAAAATGTATTTTTCAATAATTCTTGCTCCCTAATTTTAATTGTTCAACTTTAGAGACTTACTAATTTTATATTTATATTGTTTCTATCTTTCGTTTTTTTTATTTATTAATTTATTTTTATTTTAACTTTTTTAATTTTTAATTTTTTTTATTTTAAAATTTATTTTCATTGGTCTCTCTAACCACAACTTAGCACAATACAGCTATATATATACATACATATAATATATACGTATTTACATTATTTTCCCACAACTCTGTAACAACATTAGATGAAAAAAAAAAATATTTTTATTACGAAATTTTTTTCATTCGTTCGCCGTTTAAAGTCAACCGCCGATCTTCACGTTTGATCTTCGAAAATGCGATCTCAAAACTGATTCACGGCCAAACAAACGGACGAGCGCTAAGCACGCGAGCGAACGAATACAAAATGCTACTAACTATTATATGAGTACAATGCCGCATTCTATTGTATTGTTTGTGTATATTTGTAAATTGACTATGAAGAAAACCAGCTGTGCGTCGTCAAGAAAGAAGGAATATCCCGTGCTATAGCCTATGGCTACACACACAGCAAGAAGAAAAACATACGCGTACATACAGACTAAATAAGAATATACATGAAAGGCTCGCACTCCTCCGCCTCCCACTACCCACCTAATGAGAATGGTGAGCATATTTTGTCGGAAATCGTTGAAAAGCCAGTGGCAGACAGTGACGATCAGCATATTATTGAGCTTCGACGCTCATGCATCCCCCCAAAAGCAAATGTTTGTATGGGTTGGCGAGTATACTCAGAATAAAATATATATGTATACTCGTATTTGTTTGTATGTAATTCATATGGCAATGCTCGTAAATTATTTAAGTACATACAAGTACATAGCTACTAAAAGTCAGCACATAAAGGAGCGGCAAGCAAGCAAGCATATTCTATACGCCACGCTGAACGACTTTAACGATCAGCCGGGAAAACATATACTCAGATATTTGTAAACAAAAAGGCATTTTGTGAGCATCTGTATGTTTGGGAATTCGCTATGAATTTTTGCGTTTGTATAAACAAAATCAACAAGAGAAATGGGAGTATTGAAAAATAATCGCAGTTCAGTCGAATGAAATTTAAAAATAAGCAGTTTTTTGTTATTGAAAAAAAAAGGAACTTTTTTTTGCAAATTTTCGAACGCAAGCAGCTTTTTGTGTGAGCGCTGACATTAAAGAAATTTTATTAAATCAAATAAACTAATTTCAGAGTAGACAGCGGAAGAAATAACAAGAAAAAAATTTAATCAAAATAATATTTTTTTCTTAATAAATGACGCTTTGTCAGCGCTGCAGCTATTTTCTCAATAATGGTTTTATTGTAAGAACGTATTTTTAACCTCAACTTCTTGTAGATGTTCTCAATCAAATATCCATGAGGAAGAAAATTGGCAACGCTGCGAGGAAAATCAAAATCTAATATAATATACATATATTTATCATAGAAAATATATAAAATTTGATCAACTCATATTTAAATTTAAAAAATCTGCTTTTCGTTTTATTTTTTGCCATTGCACAACTTTAATTTCTTCAAAATTATAACTTTTTTTAATTTTAGTATTTTTATTAAATTTTTTACTTTTTATCAATAATAAATTTTCAAATTTGTTTCCAAGCGTAAATTTTTCACAAATTATCATTTGCATCTTTTGTAATTGCATTTTGTACAAGCATTTCCTCATACATTATTTACAATCGGACGTACATACATATGTATGTAGTCAAACGCTTTATTAGCAGCCACTAAGCACTCTTACATCACTCAAATTATACATTTTCATAGTTATTGTAGATTTTTAATATTTTCATAGGGAAAAATATTAGCATTTTCTACAGAAAACGTGCATTATTCACTTAAATTTTTAGAAATGAAAGATTTGTACAAAAATTAATTTAAATTTTGGACTTTTCAGCATATGTTTGTATGTATGTTTATTTACATGCATGTATGCAGCATTTCCGGCAATGAAAGTTTTTTGGCAAACGAACAGTTTGCAGCTTAAAATAAGAACAAAAAAAAATGTTGTTAATAGCAACAGCAGAAGAAAATGAAAATAAATAACGAGAAAAAATTTAATAAAAAAATATAATAAATAAAATTGAAATATAATTAAAATGAAAATAACTAAAATTTAAATAAATTTAAAATTAAAAGTTAAATTAAATTTTAAATAATTATTAAAATTAAATAATAATTAAAATTAAAATTTATATAATAATAAAAATTTTAAATTAAAAATCTTGAAATAAAATTCAAACTTAAAATGAAAAATTAAAATAAAAAAATTAAAAAATAAAAACTTGAACAAAAAAATAACAAAAATATAAATAAAGCTTTATTTGTATATAAAACTAAAAATATAAAAAAATATTAAAAAGAACACATATAAAAAATTATTTCCTTGTAACCACATTTAAAACAAACATTACGCTTACATTTTGTAATATTTTGCGTAAAATATTATTTAATTTATTTTTTAAAATTTAGTTTTCATTTCAACCATTTTTTTTTAATTTTGGTCTTTTGTTTGAAATATTTTTAGTTTTTTTACTTGCTTGCAGCTACACTAACTGCCAATTTTAAGCATATTGATGAGCAGCAATTTGCACCTTTCACTTATTTTCACACAATTTACTAATTTTGGAAATTAACATTTACATTTATTTTCATTTTAAATACACATTTGTACAATTGTTTATGTCGTAGCTACATACTCATATACATACATACGTATGTATATCGCTCAGCATTTTCACCCATTTCACTTACATTTATTTTACATTTGTTTTACACATGTTTTTCGCACTATTTTCTGCATTCGTTTAAGGTTTCCCTTTTTTATTGCCACAACAACAAACACTAACCATCATTTATTTAAAATTTGCGCGAAAAATTAACGAAAGTTCATGCACGCTTCCAAAATATAAGCGAATTTCGTTTGAAACTGAAGAAAAGCACGGCGATGACTCTGACGTTTTGTTTGTATGTCGCGTTGCCAACGACACGCGAATTTGGCATTGTTGACCAACGCTGGCGTTACATTATTGCATGCTGGCGTTGGCATTGCCTGCCGAATCTACCACCCTCAGAGGTAGCAACGGAATTATATAAAATACAAAAACAACAATAATAATATACTTAAAGTCAACTGGCTTCAGCCATACGAATTACACGCAGTGACGGCGGCGACGGCGTCGCCAACTTGCATATTGTTATTATTGCCGGCAAATGTCCTACATACATACGTTTTGCTGGGGGGTCAAAGCGACAAGCCACAGAAAAAAAGCAACAAACACAAATAAGCAAAACACATATGCATGTATGTAGTATATAATCTAAAAATTATATTTTTGCAAATTTGCAACGCAAAAATACGATAATAAAAAACACTACAAAAAAAACAACAACAAGAAGACGTAAACCGCAAAGCACAAAAAAAATATATACTAATAAACGCAAAATCCACTCAGCTTATTTTTACAATAAGCACACACACAAGAAACAATCACGATATTAACAACAACGACGAACTGCATTCAACGAATACGAACGACGACGGCGACGACTCGAGCGTGCATAGAGCGCAGCAACCAACGAGCAATGTTTACGCGACCAGTGTTGAAAACAATCTGAACAACGTTGGCCTGACGACGTTATAGCGAAGCGTTTTTTGAGCGTACAAAACAAATGGGGGGAAAAGCAGCAAGGAAAAAAGAACTGGGCGAAAAACGGGTATGAGTTGACTAGTCGGCTCGCCAACTAGCCCTACATTGATGATGCCGCTGTTGGTGGGTGAGGTGCTGTGAGGCGTGTTGCCTATGGTGTGGCATTAGTGTGACGGTAATGGCGTTGGTTGATAGTATTACTCAGATATATGTACATACATATGTACATATGTTTGACTAAAGAAAGTTAGTTGCATTTGACTGACCGGCCGGCAAGAAATGAGGAAAATATGAAGGTGACGCTAAAGGTGGAAAATTGCAAAAGATTAGGGCGAACACGTGAGGTACTGGATACTTAAGCAGAAAAGCTCTCGTTTGTACCAAAAAAAAACCTGTTCCGGTAATTTCAAGTGGTCGCAGTTGCAGAGCACTCAGCGGTGCGTCTCTAATGCGGAAAATCAATGGATCGCATTCAGGTGCAACATCAAAAATTATAGCAAACAATTGATTACGGTCGTCTTTCGGTAAAATAAAAATTTCAACACCTTTGAGTGTATTTCTGACGTGAAATAAAAAGCTCATCAGCCGTTCGGAGGCGATTTGGAAAAAAAATTGTTGCAAAACGGTAACACGCCTATCATAATGATGACGGTAGAAAAACACTCTAGAGATTACAATCCAAGCACTTAAACAGCGAATACACGCACATTTCTCATAACACGAAAATTTACGATTGCCGGCTCGAGGTTTTCCAATGTTCCTTCGAATTTTTTAATTTTATATTTTAATTTTTTTTTTAATTGTTTTTTAATATTTTTAATTCTTTTTTAAATTCTATTAAATTGAGTTTTTTCGCTCGATGCTTTCAAAAGCTCGAAAGTTTTAAAAAGCATTTCAGCAGTTGAGCAGTTGAACACCGAACGTCAATAGAGCGAGTGCCAAGTTGCATGCTCTCCACAAAACACCTGGTAGCCTAGAGGTTTACTTCAAAACCCCACAGTTCCAGCTGAGAAAGTGGACTTACTATAACTTCCATCTATATAATTAAATATGTGTGCGCTGTGTGGAGCTTAAAAATTAGTAATGTTAATCAGTACACTATCCAAGCAGTGAGCGGTAACGAGTTACTCGTTCAGTATTTGCACCTTCTCGCAGGAATCAACTAGAAGGCCAACAACGAGCGGACAATGGCACGCAAATTCATTAAGATATAAGCATAGATATAGTATACAAAGTATATGTAGATATGTATGTAAGCAGATTAGTTTGTTTATTTGATGGTTGGTTACCTGGACAACCAATAAACCGGAAATTATAAACAAATCTATGTAGAAAAGCATGCTTGGCTATAAAGCAACAAAAAAAGCTATCAAACAAAGTGGTTACTTGCCGCTTGTTAGCCAATATAAATGGTAAAATTATAAGAAGTAAGTACATATAGTGAAAATGCATTAAAGGGTCTTGGGGTGAGCAGAAAAAGGGAGGAGAGAAGTTGAAAATAGAATGGCAGGCGCACGCGACATGTAAGAGTACTCGCCGCCGCTGCTAGTTAATAAGAACGTGCGCTGTAAAGCGAGTACTTTTTGTGACGACTATAAAAACCGGGTAATAAGTAAAGCAAGAGCGTGGCAAAAAAAAAGGAGTCAAGAGAAAGGTAGAAAAGGCACTAAAAAATTGTATAACTAAAGCAAAGTGATCCATTCTTAAACAAGCCTCGCTGCTTTCGGTTAAGATAATTAGTTATTTTTCTAATAAAATCGGAGAATAATCAAAAAATAATTATGGGGAAAAGAAAAATGACTTTAATGAGTTTAGAATGCTGCTCGAAATAGCAACTGGAGACAGCAATGCTTCTTTCGCGCAAATTTAGCTATGTAGATGCATATTAGTTGGAGGTTATGGCATAAAAAATTTATATTTACGACTTTTTTTGAAGAAAAATTGATTTTTATGTATTTTAAAAATTATTCAAAAATAATATAGTGAAATAGTATAAGTAAAAATAATTAAAGAATTTAAAAGTTAATGTTTTTTAAGATGTTGTAGTTTTAAAATAAGTAGAAAAAATTGTTTTCACAGTTTCATGCTTAATATATTTAAAAATATTCATACTGCTCATTTTTTTGATGAGCAAATTAAAAAAAAAAACAATTTTTTAAGATAATTTTCTTTTTTTTGAAAATAATTATTGTATTAATTTTTATTAAGTAAACTACGATTATTGTTATTATTTTTTTATTTACTTATTTATTTATTTATTTATTATAGACAAATTTTTAAATATTGATTGATTTAAAACTGCTTTATATTTATTAATTGTCAACATAAAATTTAAGTATTTTATCCCACTCACAATGAACCCAGTTTATTTAAATATCTAGCAAAAAATTTTATTTTAAAATCTGAGCATTTATTTCTATTTTATTTTACTGTTATTTTTTATCTCTTCAAAAATATTTTTATATTTTTTTTTTGGTATTTACACCATTATTTATTATTTCGAAAAATGATTGTCTTTAATTGCTAATGACAAAAACACATACGTTTCTTATTGCTTCAAATGGTGGAAGAAATTGCACATAATTGCTTAAAATAGCAAACAACCCAAAATTTATTACCATTTTTTTATAAGAATACATTTTTTTCTGCGCACATTTTGATCAGCTGTTTTACCATGTACGTAAATACTTATAGAGCACCCTTATATGGCAGCGGTAATCCGCTTAATGACAGCTGAAAGCATGTGATAAAAGAATAAAAGATAAGATTTGGTCGGACTCATGAACTCGGAATAGATTGCATTATTTTAATTAATTTCTTTCATGAGTTCGTTTTATTTTATTTTAAGTTTTTTTTATTGTTTTTTTATATTATTATTGTATTTAATTTTTCACTATTTTTATTTTACTTTGCTTTTTTATTTACTTATTTTATTTTATTTTATTTAATTTAATTTAATTTAATTTAATTTAATTTAATTTAATTTAATTTAATTTTATTTAATTTAATTTTATTTTATTTTATTTTATTTTATTTTATTTTATTTTATTTTATTTTATTTTCCTTCCCTTTTCAATTTAATTTTTTACTTATCTCATTCTTATATACTTGATCAGACAATCCACCCGGTTTACCTTGTACAACCTTGCCAAAAAAAAACCTATTCGACACATACATAGTTCCATGCAAGCAATCCACACACACACAAGAGTTAGCATTTTTTCCGCGCAAATAAAGTTCAAAATGACGTAAGAATTTTTTCTATGCCAAAGGCTTATATTTGCAAAAACAAAAAAAGCGTTAATAAATAAGCATAAGTACATACGAGTACATACATTTATTTTTGTCTGTTTGAGTGCTTATGGTGTTTGTCTGGTATTTGAAACAGCTAGTACCTTTACTTATAATTTAGCTTGTTTATTTGCGCAAATCTGTGCCGTTGCAAACAAAATAGGCAAGCAGAGAGGGTTCTCAGCTTAAAACAACTGGCATAGAATACTTAAAAAATGCATATGCAATAAATAAAGTGGAATGCATGCAAAGAAGAAAATGTGTAAAAAGAAGCTTATGAAATTGTAGTGGAAAGGAATGAAGAGCTTGTACACCAGCTGTTTGAGCTTGTTACAATTCAGCAAGAACACCTGCCGGTAAATATTTGTAATATTTAAGTAGCCAAGCGTTGCCGGCATGAGGCTAGTCAAGGAGAGCTTAAGTGGAGAAGGCTGAGGTGAAGTAGGTAGGTGAAGTATGTAAGGAGTTTGCTCGGCTCTCAGACAAGCCAGTCGATTTTAACACAATATTTGCAGGTGGATATGTTTGATAAACATATTTACATATATGTATACTTATACTAACTAGTCTTATGAGAAAATTCAAATAGATTCTCGTCGCTTTGCGAGTGCAATAGTTCAACGAGTTTAACACTTATTAATAAATAGCTGGCGACCGGTTCTTCTCCAACGCCCAAAATGCAGACAAAAAGGCGAATATAGTAATAATGAACTTACATACATATATATGCATACATTTACACTTACTGGTTAAGTCATGTGAAAAACGTGCGAAATTAAGGGTATGGAAACGTGTTGTTTTTCGTTTGTTTATTTACCTGAAAAGAGAAAAAATTATTAGTTATAAAATTGCAAATTAACAAAAATAATGTTTTTATTTCTTTATAAATATTTACTGTATTATTTGAGCAAAAATATATAAATAAATATTTTTTATTTTTTTTTATAAAAATAAAATTTTTAAAATATGCTAAAGCTTTTTTTATTTAACTAAATAAATTTACTAAATTTTTTTTTTAGAAAAAATTTAAAAGCGTATTTATTTAACACTCCAGGCCAGATAAAGGAGCAAAATGAAATGTTGCCTACAATTAGGCGTTTGTTATGATTAAATATTGCTTCATTTGCTATCATTTGAAAAGAAAGCAACTATTTTTGAAATTGTTATTATTGTTTCTTTTCAATATGTTTGTTTTATTTCTTTGCAAAAAAACTTTTCAACGGCTTTCTATTACTCATGTTAAAATAACAAAAATAATAATAACATGGAAAATCAATAGAAGACATTTAAGTATTAAGTGTCGCTTTTTTTCGGCACACCTAAAAGTATGTTACGACTTGAATAACATTTGCCGAAACCTTCAAGACTTTTTCAGTTTTCTTTTTAGCCTATTTCTATCTTTTTTTATACTTCTAAGTGAAATTTCAACCACAGCGACCTTTCAATCAATTTTGCAGAAAGGTAAATGCGCCTAAAGGTATGCTTAGTTTCAACTCAAGTATTGGCATTTCATTTTGTACTACCAAAAGTTGGCTCAGCGAGCTAAGTATTAGAAAAAAATTTTAAAAAATCAAAAACAGTTGTCATAACTGTTTCATATACATTTGAGTATGTACTGTTGTATATTGTATATTATTATCGCTTTATAGCCGTTGAAGCGATTTTCCGGGGATCGCTCAATTAACCTCATTAAGTATTTTTTGACTTCAAAGCAGAATATATAAATACATCTGTCTGTACTTTACACTTTCCTTTATAATTATAAATAATTTTCCAATTAATCAATAATTCGAGATTCTTTCGTTGATATTAAGAGGTGAAAACGAAATCACAATTCGTCAGTGTCTTTTTTAACTTCTCCGTTTTTTCATTTCTATTTTAAGTTTTTTTGTATTCTTTGTTTTTTACTTTTTTTATACTTTTATTTTTCTTATATTTCTTTAAATTCATTAATATATTTTTAATCTTTTTTTATTTTAATTTTTTTAATTTTTATTTTTTATTTATTTTTTTATTTTTTTATTTTTTTTTTTAAGAAAAAACCTAGTAGTAAGAAGCTTCTGACGATTAATTACATGCAAGTCTTAATTCGTTGCTAGCAAAGAACTATGTAGTTGGCTTTTTGGACTTAACTGCTGAGAGTAAATCAACTAACGAAGAAGAAAGTTAAAAAAAACGTAAAAAAGTAGCGAAACTTTTCATCGAAAGGAAATATGCAGTCGAAACAAATTGATTAAGTCAGCGTAAGCATACTTAGTAAATGAGAGTAGAGACTTAGGACTTAAGAAAAATTGAAAGAAAAAATTTAAGCAGAAACCAAAGTAAATAAGGTGAGGTAAGAAACGAGACAGAAAAACAAAAATAAATATTATTAGTGGTAAAGTGACATATCATGGTTTAGAAATGATGTATATATGTATACACACATATATGTGTATATGTGTATAAATGTGCGCGTTGCACCATGAGACTTAAGAAAATAATTAGGTCACTGCAATTAGCTGTGGGTGAAGGTGAAAAATGACATACAAAATGTAGGGAAATTAAAAAGAAATAAGAACATTCAATTTTTATTATTTGTTTTTCAGCATCAAAGAAAAAGAGTATACAAAAATTATTTTTATAAAAAAAGTTTTGTTTTAAATTTTTTTGTTTGTTTAAATTTCCGTTAAAATAGAACATACTGTAGAAAAATGATTTTTCAGCTTATTTTGTCATTTAATAAATATCATTTTTATTTGTTTTTTCTCAGCAGTAAACTTAAATTTACTTTTCATTTGCGCAGCTGCGTAGTTTTGACCAGATGTAGTCGCATAGCTTATCGCCCAATTAAACAAGCAACTTACTTGATTTGTCCGAATCATTAATTTTATTGTCATTGAGTAAATGCAATTGTGATGTTGCAATTGCTACCAATGTTGTAGCTGCATGTTGCAAGCTATACATTGCAATTCGGATGTTTTTATGCATCTATCTAAGTTGCGGTGGGAAATCAAGTTATACAAACTTTAAAATAGCTGCAAAAGCAGCTACTCAAGTATTAATGCAAAATGTTGTTGTATAGTATATTTGTTATTATATTTTATTTTAAATTAAATTACTATAATTTATTTCTTTTTATTCTATTTTTCATACTTTGTTTTATTTTATTTTATTATTTTTATATTTTTTTTTTATTTTATTAATTTTATATTATTTTTTATTTTATTATTTTTACGTTTTTTTTAATTTTTATATATTTTTTTTTTATTTTATTAATTTTATATTATTTTTTATTTTATTATTTTTACGTTTTTTTAAATTTCATATTTTTATATTTTTTACCTTTTGTTTTAGTTTATCTAATTTAATTTAATTTTATTCTATTTTCTTATTTTATTTCATTTGTTTTTTTTTTTATTTTTTATTGTTTTATGTTTTGTTTTATTTCATCTAATTTAATTAATTTTTATTTCACTTTATTTTATTATTTTTAATTTTTTATTTTCATATTATATCTTTTATATTAAGATTTTTTATCTAATTTAATTTAATTAAATTTTATTTTATTTTTATATTTTTATTTTATTTTGTTTTATTTTATCTAATAATGAATGAATTAAATTACAGTTTTATTTTAAATTTTCTTTTTATTTTATTTTATTATTTTTAGATTTTTTTTTTTATTTTTTTTTTTACTTTTTTTATTTTTTTTTATTTTTTATATTTTTTATATTTTTTTTATTTTATTTTATTCTATTTTCTACGTTTTGTTGTGTTTTATCTAGATTAATTTAATTAAAATTTATTTTATTTTTTATTTTTGTTTTATTTTATCTCATGATGAATGAATGAATTGAATTACAGTTTTATTTTACTTTTTCTTTTTATTTTATATTATTTTATTATATTTATATTTTATATTTTTTCATTTTATTTTATTTTTTTTTTTTTCATTTTATTACTTTTTTTATTTTTTTCATTTTATTGTTTTTATATCTTTTTATCTTATTTTATTCTAATTTCTACCTGTTGTTTTATTTAATTTAATTTAATTTAATTTAATTTTATTTTTATTTTATTTCTTATTTCATTTTTTATTTTCTATTATTTAATTTTTTTAATTTTTTTTGATTTTAGTTTCTATTTTTTTATTTGATTTTAGGTTTTATTCTATTTTATTATATTTTCTTTTGTATTTCATTTTATTTTAATTTATTTTAAATAGTTCATATTATTTTATTTTATTTTTTTTTTTATTTTATTTGATTTGATTTTATTTTAATTTTATTTTACATTACTATTATTAGGTTTTTTTTTATTTTTTTATTCCACAAATTTGCTGCATATGCTTGTTTTCCCTTATGTATTCTTTATATTTCAGTGGTATATAGCGGTTTACACGCATACATACATACATATGCATATTTTCCATGTAAAAATGACGTTTTTTATAGCGTTGAACGGCCTTGCCAATTTAGTTTAGTTTTCCATTCATTTACCTGTTTTTTGAATATTTTTGCTTAACACTGAACAGGTTTACGCAAATTTTCTTTTCCACCTTTTTTCAGTGAGCCTCGGTATTTTTTTATTTATTTACAACTTTTTTTTTGTGTTTTTTGGTCGCGTTGACAACAAGTGAAACTTTTATAATATTTTTGTATATATAGCAAACATATTTCATGTGTACATAAAATATTTTTTTTTTTTTGTTATTTTTATTTTTTTTTAAATATACTGACTCTGACGTACCAGAAAACATGAACTATTTTACTAAAAAGCTCTTCGAGGTAAAAAATTCCATATTTAAAAAATGGTTTAATTTAAGCTAAAAATATAGACTTTTCTATGAACAAATAATTTAATTTTTATAATTTTTTATTTAATTGAAAATTCCGAATCATTTTTAATTTAAATTAATATCACTTTTACGCACACGTGAAGTAATTTGCTTAACAACATGCGCAATTAATTTGTTAATTTAAATATTACAAAATCTCTGTAATTTACATTAAAAATTCATTTCAATTTAACTACGACAAGACAAATGCATTTATCAAATGAATTTGTCGCGCAACAAATAAACGCCTGCACAGCGAACGCAGCAGCGTTGCCAACTACGTACGCAACCCACCAGCAAAGCATTAGCAGACCAACGGCTTGTCACCCACACACAGCAGCAGGCAGCGCAAGTACATACACGTGAGGCATGTCTATACAAAGCAAAACAACTAAGCAATTTGCGCAAATTGCGTCCTCCATTCTTGCATATTTCATTAAATTTTCATTACAGTTAATTTTTTTTTTTCTATGTCCTTTTTTTCCCCAACTATGGAACATGGCCCGATTTGGCATAACAAAAGAGAGCAAAACAATAAGTAAGAACGCCTGCAAACAAATTATGCAAAACGTCGACATGCCGTAAGAAAATGGAAGTGAAGAAAAAAAACTAAAAAAAAAAAGAAATGTGAAAAAATTGTATTAGAATAACAGCAAACACAATTACAAAATGTGGCAAGAAAAACAATTTGCTACACAAAAAAAAATGCATTGAAAAAAGGCAAAAATTGAAGAAGTAAAAAAACAACGTTTTTTTGTTTTTGTTGCTGCCCGGTGGCGCTGCTGTCGTAATGCGAAAACACAACTGATTGTAGGCAAATTGCCAGCAGCAAAAAAGAAGTTACGTTTAAATTGCCGCAGTCTCCAGTGTGTGTGTGTGTGTGTGTGTATATTTGTGGTTGATATTGTATGTAAAAAAACCTGTGTTGGTGTGTAAACTATAATTTTTTTGTTGCAATATTCAATTGGCATAAGAAGCGAGTTGGCGGCAAATGTTGC